TAAAACGACGGGCCAGTTAATGATTTTTAGTGGTTTTAATTCTTATTTCGGTTTGATTATCGTTTACATGGAGAGTTTTATTAACTAAAACGACGAACCAGTTAATGATTTTCAGTGGTTTTAATTTTTATTTCGGTTTGATTACCGTTTACATGGAGAGTTTTATTAACTAAAACAACGGACCAGTTAATGATTTTCAGTGGTTTTAAATCTTATTTCGGTTTGATTATCGTTTACATGGAGAGTTTTATTAACTAAAACGACGGACCAGTTAATGATTTTCAGTGGTTTTAATTTTTATTTCAGCCTAACTGACCCTAACGTTGAGGATCATCAAATTCCTAGTAGAAAGTTAGTACATTACAGAAAAGACCTAGTTTAGGCATAATGAGCCTATTATCTCGACCCTTGGACCACGGAGATCCAAAAACACCCATGGCTTGGAGACATCGGGATATAATATTTCACGCAGCCAAACCCCCACCAATACCTCCGAAAAACTATCAATCTGACTCCTCTTTGGTGTCCTCGACCTCATCTGGCGAAGAAGAGAGACAAAGGAAATATTTAGATACTGTATATCGAGACTTTACTCCAGCATTAAGTCACAATGAGATGAAGAGATTCAAACCGTTTCATTCAAGAACTTTAAGCGATGTTCCATCATTGAACTCAAATTGCCGGTATGGCAGTACATGTCCAGTGCGTGACCCGAATCGTTTTCGCTCTTATGATTCTATGTTAAACTTACGAGACCAAGAATATCGACAGAGATTTCTACTGGATTGTAAGTCATTTTCGAAGCGAGAAAGTAAAAGATTTAATCAGTCAAAATCACAACCTCCCCCTTTACCCCCGAGAGTGAATCCCCCAACACATTCTGTATTATCACCCACTTTCCTTCCAGTAACGCATCCTCCAACCTTGCTGTGCCCTGGTGCTGCTGGAATGATTCATTCCCCTGCTAGGGATGTCATCATGAAAAATGGACAATTCTCTAAGTCCACTGGTAAGTTCCAAGAAGACCCTTTCGATGTTAAACAGGTGTGTTGTCAAGGGCATATTGCTGTGTTATGGATCATCTTAGCTGTCATTACTTGTGGAGTAATCCTTGGTATTATGCTTGGAGCAATACTGGCTTGAGAAAAAATCCAGGATGTGCTTTGGATCATCTTGGCCACCATTACTTGTGGAATAATCCTTGGTATTATGCTTGGAAAAATAATGGCTTGAGAAAAATACAGGATGTGCTTTGGATCATCTTGGCCACCATTACTTGTGGAATAATCCTTGGTATTATGCTTGTAACGATAATGGCTTGAGAAAAATCCAGGATGTGCTTTGGATCACCTTGGCCACCATTACTTGTTGAATAATCCTTGGTATTATGCTTGGAAAAATAATTTATGGAAGAAAAATCCAGGATGAATTGATAAAAAAAACTAAGCCTTTATGTACACACACAAAAAGACTGTAATAAAGTGGAAACTGGTTGTATTTTGGCATTAACCTGTAGTTAATTGCTGTGTCATGAATACCATGTTGAAATATCTGACCACTTATATAATGTGTAACTGTTTTATCACATAAAGGTGTTTTTATTAACTACGTGAAACAAACACATACATTATTAGTCTAGTAGCAGTAAGCTGGGTTTTGTTTAACACTCTAATAAAAAAGGGCTAATTTAACTTTCTGGTTTGTTTTGTAATTAAGCACAAAGCTACACAATGGACTATCTGTGCTCTGCACACCACGGGTATCGAAACCCGGATTCTAGCGTTGTAAGTCCGCAGACATACCGCTGTGCCACTGGGGGGCATAACTTACTAGAAGAGATGATTTCAGGATATGTTGTACATACAAGTTGTGGTTACAGTTTTTTTCTTTCCAGTGAACTTATAATAAGACAGTTCTCAGAAAAGTCATACAACTTACAACTGATTTTCTTCAGAGTAGTTTCTTTCAGTAACTTCCAATCAGAAGTTGTGTGAAACGTCCTTCTATATTTTAGCATAAAAACACGTGATTGAAGCGACATCTGCTGCTGTTTCAAACTTTGGATGAAAGATACCAACACCTGTGATGTACAGATAACATGTACAGCTGTTTCAAACTATGGATGAAAGATACCAACACCTGTGATGTACAAATAACATGTACAGCTGTTTAAAACTCTTGAAGTTAGTTAATAGTTCCAACCATCAACTCATCAGCTACTCTTGAAGTTAGTTAATAGTACCTACCATCAACTCATCAGGTATTGTTGAAGTTAGTTAATAGTTCCTATCATCAACTCATCGGCTACTCTTGAAGTTAGTTAATAGTACCTACCATCAACTCATCAGGTACTCTTGAAGTTAGTTAATAGTTCCTACCATCAACTCATCAGGTACTCTTGAAGTTAGTTAATAGTTCCTACCATCAACTCATCAGGTACTCTTGAAGTTAGTTAATAGTTTCTACCATCAACTCATCAGGTACTCTTGAAGTTAGTTAATAGTTCCTACCATCAACTCATCGGCTACTCTTGAAGTTAGTTAATAGTTCCTACCATCAACTCATCAGGTACTCTTGAAGTTAGTTAATAGTTCCTACCATCAACTCATCGGCTACTCTTGAAGTTAGTTAATAGTTCCTACCATCAACTCATCAGGTACTCTTGAAGTTAGTTAATAGTACCTATCATCAACTCATCAAGGCTACATCTGAACAACTTGATGTGGCTATTTAAGAAATGACAAGTCAAGACACAAATCTTGAAACATTAACACGTCTAAAACAATATAATAATAAAAAACTGAGGCAGAACTCAGATGAACAAGACTGGTTTCAATTAAACAATTTTATTTATGATATACATTGCACATTTCTTAAATTTAAATATTATATTTTCTAGATCATAAAAAAATACTTGACAATTACACCTTTAGGATTCACAAAGAGCTAGCTTTTCAATAACACAATCCACTGAGTTAATTACTCGTGACAATTATCCTTGAAACTAAAATCCACTTACTTAAAACAAATCTGTTTTGGTTTTATTCAAGTGAAACTCGTATATCTATATCTGATTTCAGTGGCATTTAAATGGTTGAATAATACACAAGTAACTGATAAATCACATTTAATGTTGCCTTATGTTGAGTTCATATATAGAAGTAGTTAACCATTATGTAAAACTGTCTCATCATGATAAAATTGTACAATAGGTTGGATTAGCTGCCAGTGAAACCTCACTCTGCTTAACAAACCTTATAACTGAAGTATGTTTGGAATATTTAGTTCTGACATAACTATGGTTAGTAAGTTTCAAATTGAAAAACGTTTTCAGTAGACTTTACCATATTTTCATAGTTATAGTGTGTATAGTAACATACAAAACTAAACGTTTTCAGTTCATATTTCCCCATTTACTACAGTAAATAGGTCTCATGAAAGACACTGATGTTTATGGTTGACCAGTTTTAGGTTTTGTTACTCCATTGTTTCTGGCTACAGTCAGAATTAGCTATAAGTTATATAAGCACAAGTTTTACAAAGTGTAACAAGTTTTTAGTAGATAGCCATGATAAAATACTAACCACAATAAAAAACACCTGTTGAAAACAGCCTCAAGAATACTTAAAAGTTCTGACTACTTTTCTACAGAAGCTACAAACTATAATATATTATTCTGTTTGTCCAGCAACTTGATGCAAGATAACCATTTAACAAAATTAACACAAGTATTTGTTTAGATATCTATTAACATTAAGAAAGTAAAAATTAATGTTTCAGGTAACAGAGTGTTTGTCAAATTAAAAACACAAGAAATACATCTCATATTTCATAACGATCATTGACTCCGACATAACACACAGAATGGAAAAGTGCACCTAAGAGACTTCCCATAATCCATTAGATGAACCACTCACAAACAAACCTAATGCAGGCTGTTCAGAAGAACTATCAATTTATCCACCAGGAGTTGTCCATGCTAGTTGTGTTGTTGTATAAAAAGTCCTGAGCCAAACCTTTGGTGAAGTGTTTTTCAAGTTCAAATCCTTTTTACACATCAGAAAGATTTCTTTAGTCCAGTATTTACTACGTTATATAAAACTAAATAGTATTTCAGGTGAAATTCTAGTTTACAAATTTCCTCAACAACAATGTTCCTCTCTTGTGTAATGTTCACTAAATAACTTCTAAATATTCTACATTAATGTGAAGAATGTTTAAAAAGTTTACAATTTCCAAACAAAACTGGTCTGTGTTACTCACTAATTAAGACGTCAGGATGACAATTTTTAAAATGACTACTTTCGGGTCATACTTTAAGTTTGACTTTAAGATAGCCGTAGCCAAATAACAAAAGATAAAAATATTTCAATTAAAAATTATGTAATTAGCAGATGAAAAACACAAAATAGATGTTTTTGTCATTTTCCGGGTAATCACAGATTAACTTGCTTCCCACGTACGAGCTGACCTCGAAGATGCCAGGCATCCTAACAAAAAAAAAACATAATTTTCATAACAGATAACGTAAACTATATCATTTTCACGTCAATTATACCAAAGTGACTTAGCTACACAAATGTAGTAACAAAGTCTTTAAAACTAACTCAACTCTGATGACCAGTTAAAACACTACTGCTTTTATTTGGTACGAAGCTACACAATGGGCTATTTGCACTCTATCCACCAATGGGAATCGAACCCTGGAATTCAAATGAACCACCAGGAGCCCTTAGTTAAAACAATTATTAATAAACTTTCATTTACGGATTTCTACCTTATATTATTGGACTAATAAACAGCATGAGATTAGGATATTTCAAAGTTTCTAGAAACCAACAGCACATACACAAGATAACTATTACAGTTAATTACTGATCAAACCAAGTTACCTAAATAAATCAGAACCAAAAATCATCACAATAATGAAAGTAGTTAGTTAAATATAGTGTTTCAAAAGGTTTGGCCAACTTTAATAGACTTAGGTTAGTCCTAGATCTAAATACTAAGCAAACAATGCATATAAATCTCCATTAGAGGTTTCTCGACACTTCTCTTATCAGTTCAACACAAACACCCACCCTTGTTCTTTGATTATTCTGTACATCCTGGGTATTGCTTCTTTCTTTTGATGAAATCAGTCACTGTGACTGGCACTAATGATTACTCTGTTGAATATGCATCAGGATATACCACATTTGTACTTAACCTTGCAGCAAACTGTGACGTATAGTTTTGTTTATCTGTTACCAGGATATACCACATTTGTACTTAACCTTGCAGCAAACTGTGACGTATAGTTTTGTTTATCTGTTACCAGGATATACCACATTTGTACTTAACCTTGCAGCAAACTGTGACGTATAGTTTTGTTTATCTGTTACCAGGATATACCACATTTGTACTTAAGCCTTGCAGCAAACTGTGACGTATAGTTTTGTTTATCTGTTACCAGGATATACCACATTTGTACTTAACCTTGCAGCAAACTGTGACGTATAGTTTTGTTTATCTGTTACCAGGATATACCACATTTGTACTTAACCTTACAGCTAACTGTGATGTATAGTTTTGTTTATCTGTTCCCTGCAGCAATACCTTGCATGATTTTGTAGGTGATTTATGAGTAAACCTTGGTATATATCATTGTGGATAATATATCTTGTACAAACCTTGGTAAGTATTGTTGTGGATAGTATACCTTGTACAAACCTTGGTAAGTATTGTTGTGGATAGTATACCTTGTACAAACCTTGGTATATATTGTTGTGGATAGTATACCTTGTACAAACCTTGGTACATATTGTTGTGGACAATATATCTTGTACAAACCTTGGGATATATTGTTGTGGATAGTATACCTTGTACAAACCTTGGTAAGTATAGTTGTGGATAACATATCTTGTACAAACCTTGGTAAGTATTGTTGTGGATGACATATCTTGTACAAACCTTGGTAAGTATTGTTGTGGATGACATATCTTGTACAAACCTTGGTAAGTATAGTTGTGGATAACATAACTTGTACAAATCTTGGTATATATATTGTTGTGGATAACATATCTTGTACAAACCTTGGTAAGTATTGTTGTGGATAACATATCTTGTACAAACCTTGGTACATATTGTTGTGGATAGTATACCTTGTACAAACCTTGGGATATATCATTGTGGATAACATATCTTGTACAAACCTTGGTAAGTATACTTGTGGATAATATATCTTGTACAAACCTTGGTAAGTATTGTTGTGGATAACATATCTTGTACAAACCTTGGTAAGTATTGTTGTGGATAGTATACCTTGTACAAACCTTGGTAAGTATAGTTGTGGATAACATATCTTGTACAAACCTTGGTAAGTATTGTTGTGGATAACATATCTTGTACAAACCTTGGTAAGTATTGTTGTGGATAACATATCTTGTACAAACCTTGGTACATATTCTTGTGGATAGTATATCTTGTACAAACCTTGGTAAGTATAGTTGTGGATAACATATCTTGTAAAAACCTTGGTATATGTATTGTGGATAACATATCTTGTACAAACCTTGGTATATGTATTGTTGTGGATAATATATCTTGTACAAACCTTGGTACATATTGTTGTGGATAGTATACCTTGTACAAACCTTGGGATATATTGTTGTGGATAGTATATCTTGTACAAAACGTGGTATATATATATTGTTGTGGATAATATACCTTGTACAAACCTTGGTATATATATATATTGTTGTGGATAATATATCTTGTACAAACCTTGGTACATATTGTTGTGGATAGTATACCTTGTACAAACCTTGGTACATATTGTTGTGGATAACATAACTTGTACAAACCTTGGGATATATTGTTGTGGATAATATATCTTGTACAAACCTTGGTATATATTGTTGTGAATAATTTATATATATTATACAAACCCTGGTAAACAGTTTTGTTTATAAGTTTCCTTGTTGTAGATTTTTTTCACACAATTTACTCTGTAGTAAACTCTGGCAAGTGATTTTTGGGATGAAATTATGGATCCAAAAAGCATACTTAAATATCAGAAATCATCTAAATTTAATAAAAATGATTAAATTGAAACACATGGCATGTTTAAAGGTTGTAACAGATGACACTCACTTTGTAATCTCTTAGTTCGACTCCCAGTTTTTTTGCAATCTGAATAACTTCTTCTGCTATGTTCTCTTGAGATGTGCCTCGTACATCTATATATTCACTTTCTGAGGCTGCATAATGGCAGGAAATAGCCTGAAAGATAAACGCATATGAAACTTCAAACTCTCTGTTTTACGAGAGCTTATGTACCTAAAACTACTTTATCAATGAAACATAAGAACTTCCTACACTATTTCTCTTCTCTCTACTCTTACAAAGGTTCGAATATTTTGTTTGAGTACCTCAATGAGTAAAGGAAACCAAATTACAGCTAAACCCAACAACTGAAGAAACAGAGTAAATGCCCACATATAGTTTCAAAATGAGGGTCTTACAAACTGTGTTTCATAGCCATGATCAAAACTGTAAACAAATACAATGTAAGCTGTGAACATCATTTAGTAAACAAATCACCAGACTTATTTATTTGTCTTAAACCATACTTTTCTAAACCCATTGGTCCTATTGGCTCCTGATCCATGAATAAGTATTGGATGAAAAAAAACGGTGTCTCCGGCACCCATTTCTAGGTAGGTTCGTTTTTCCATTTCAGATTTTTTCATGCCTCTGATCCCATGGTACATTTTGTTCACACCTCCCTGAATAAGATCACAGGAAAGTCACTTAAATATACAACAACAAATCTTGTTTTGTGATAAAATTTAAATTCTCTAAAATCATCATTTCATATTAAAGAGATTAATTAGTCTATGAAAGGAGAACAGCAAAAACTTAATGCTATCTTAATGACTGAACAATCAAACATACATGTAGGTATATTCAAGACAGTAAGTTAGTGACAAGAATCAAACGCAGATATGTAGTATATTCAAGACAGTGAGTTAGAGAACAGAATCAAACAAACATTAGTACATTCAAGACAGTAAGTTAGTGACAAGAATCAAACATACATTAGTACATTCAAGACAGTGAGTTAGTGACAAGAATCAAACTTACATTAGTACATTCAAGACAGTGAGTCAGTGACGATAATTCAAAATGACAGGTGAAATATATATTTACAGAGCTCAGTAATTATCTGTAAGTTCTTTCCCAGAAATATTTGCAATTTTAATTCAAACTGTCTTGTAGTCAATTTCTTCCTTTCATTTGTAGGAACAGTTCAAGATTGTTCCAAAACAGTTTGTTTTTTTTCTACCAGTATTTCTCTTACCTCCCAGTCTGGATAATCATGCTGCACCAGTTTTCCCTTGTGAGATCCCGGAATTGCTACCAAACAACCGTTTTCTCTTGTTACAGGCTCCATTGCTGTCCATGCACATACAATCTTATTTGCTGGCCGAAAAGGAAAATAATGTAGATCTTGGTGCAGAGGATGTCGGGAAGACAAAGTACCTGATTATTTGAAAAATAAACAAGAACTTTCTTTTTATACTATAAATCTTTATATAAAAAAATTATAATAGATAATTCCAAGTTTTCAGCTCCACGATTTTATTAGAAAGTATTAATATGTTAAATTCATCTTGGAATACACACACGTAAAGAATGCTTCTGGCATGAAACCAATACTGTATACATTTCTATTAACTGAGTCTGCACGGGGTCAGTTGGTCTACTGGACCGGCCCTGTGTTGGAAAAAGAATGTTAACCATGATTCTAAATTCACCACATGTACTTATGAGAAATGTGGCAAGCTTTCAGTAAAATACACAAAAAGTCAGACGTGTAACAAAAGTACCTGCAATCATACAACTTGCACACTGTATTTGCGTAACCTCTTGATTGTTTGTTTGTTTTGGATTTCGCGCAAAGCTACACGAGGGCTA